CTGTTGAGCTACTGCAATCATTGTGTAAGACGTACTAGACATATCATAGTATCAATACTGAATGACGCAGTTCTTTTATAGCTGCTGCCACAAACATTACCTAATTAAAAATAACATAACATAACAATTAAGCATATTTTATTTAAAAATAAATAACTTACTAATTTAGAATGCCAATAAACGAATCAACTATTAAATATATTAAGAAACTAGCAAACCCGACAAACTCCGTTTCGCCACCAGATGGTTTAGTGAGAAAGATGAAGAAATTTTTTGTTTGGTATATTATATTTGAAAAGGAAAAATTTGATTTTATTGCACAACAGTAATGAATTTATTTAGATTACAAAAATGAAGTGTTTTTAGTTGAACTTCTCTGAGTAAATGAAAGTGAATCCGCAAATTATCAGTTTCATGGAAGTGATCTTTTGTAAACCACATTTTTTTGTTTTTTGGTCTGACGTTAACACAAACAAAGCGGATGGTTTTTCAACTCGTGAACAGGCAACGTATAACTGCCCATGTGAAAAACAATGATTTTCTAAATAATCTATTTGAAATTTATCCCGCAAACATCAAGAGATTGGCCTTGCGAGTTGTTATTGCGAACGCAAGGCGAACTGGAAATTGCAATCGTTTGAAGTCAAACCAAATCGCCAGCAATTTTTGATTGAATAGTGAAATTCAGTGCGTGTACATCATTATACTTTACGGCAAGAATTGTTCGTTGACTTAACCAAGCATAATTCTGATAATTCTCACTAATGTCATTACTCGAATTTTTAATTGCGGTGCGTGAAGTTCCAGCAATTTGCAGGCACCACTAATTTTCTTAGCTATAAACCTTGCGGAGCCCGAAACCTTTCTAACAAATGCATAACTGTCGAAATCGGTTGTTCTGGAGTTATATCGTCAGGAAGGAAAATCCAACTTATTTTTATATATGTAGATAATCTATTTGAAATTATTTAGAACAATTGTTGATTATTTTCATTTCTCGAATTTTTAATTACGGTGCGTGAAGTTCCAGCAATTTTCATTAAGGCACGATGCCATGCACCACTAATTTTCTTAGCTATAAACCTTGCGGAGCTCAAAACCTTTCCAACGAATGCAAAATTGTCAAAATCGGTTCGTGCGTTCTGGAGTTATTTCGTCAGGAAGGAAAACCCGACTTATTTTTATATATATAGAAGATTATATAGAGCAATCTGCTGTTATTAAAAAATCAATTAAATTAAAGTTAAAATCAGTTTCAGGTCAGTAGCACTTTCAACAAAAACTATGTCCGATTTGTAAAATGCTTGCAAAAGCAAGATTCAATACAAGCATCACCAGTGCCAGTAGTATTTTTTCATTTCAAAATTTATCAACTTACTTGTGAGAGCCGTTTGATGAGTTTTGCGCGCAATCTCATCGTGTCCATCAACCAAATGACGGTTCATGCCAATATTTGTTTGTGGAATCTGCTTATCTTGGAAGCTAGGATGCTTAAAAAGAGCAATTAATGAATTGTAGTTATCAGCTGAACCTATGCATGCAGCCAAATAACATCTCACAACTTCCCAGCATTGCTGGCGATAGTATGGCTTAGTGGCACTCGATTTTAAAGCTGTGAAGGATATTTCAATAATCTGTAAAATCAATATAAGTAATTAAACATAGTTCAATATGACAAGTTAAAAATATTTAAAAAACTAAAATGCATTAATAGATATGAATTATTTTATTATTTAAAATGGCATAAAATGGTATGATACTGAAATGATACTGAAAAAAATAAAATTGCAAGAATATAAAAATCATTTCCAAATTATAACCTTCTAGATAATAATAACATATTATTTATGCAAAATCCAAAAAATAATCACAATTTTGCAGAATAATATAAAATAACATACCTTGTCCAATGCAAAATCAATTGGTTTTTGATAATCTGCAAAGAGCACTTGGATTGCACAACCTTTCCCTTCTAACTCCTTATAATTTAAACGTTGAGGTTCGATCATCATCTTGCGATTTCCACCTCCAAACTTTCCAAGAACCCTGAAAAATAAATTTAATATTTAATGTTTATTTAATGAATGTTGACATTTAATTACCTATTCACTTTCTAGTTACTTTATTGATAACTTATTCATATTTCAATAGGCAAAGTTATTAAAATTGCAGAAATATTGAAAATGATAAACTTAAAATTAAATATATATTATATATATATATATATATATATATATATATATATATATATATGAGTGGATTACCTAAAAGCAACATGAGCAACAGCATCTGGATTTCTTAGTGTTCTCCATAACGCTTGCATTAACTCTGCTCGTACTGGTTGTATATGTTCATAGAGAAAATCTGGTTGCAAATTATCAACACATAATTCTAAAGTTCGTAATCCTTGACTGATCAATGTGTCAGACCCGTTCAGTGCCGAAACCAATGGGTCCATCAACATTGGTAGGTAAGGCAACAAGGAGCTTAATCTTACAGGCACTGTCAAACATAACTCTACAAATAATATTTTCATATGTTGTTTGTGCAAACCGCTTTGCAGTCGATTTAATCCTTCTAATAAATTAGGCAGTAATGGTAAAAATTCTTTATATAATAGCTCATGACTTCCTCCACCAATTGAACGAAATAATGCTCGCAACAGCAAAAAATAATTATATGGTTTTTGCTGTCATAGCTAAATCCATAGAAGCATTTACAATCCTGTGTAAATGAGGGCGAAGCATATGCTCGTTTTCTGGTGGGAAAATATGTTACACTTCCAAAGACAAGTTTAAATAATCCCAGATATAAATTAGATCTTTCGACATTAGAACCCATTTCTTCCATCCTCTCTAAAAGATATTCCACTAATACTGTAGCAAATATTGGCGAAGTAGATAAGTTAGCTAAAAATGTCTTTGGTATAACTTGCAATGCAGGATTACAATAAATTTGTTCAACCATATAGTCTATAGTTGCAGAAAATATTTCTCTAAATGTTCGAGTATGCATCATCAAAAACTGAAATTAAACAAGATTGCATTAACGAGTGTTCAATTCACAAAACATTCAAAGTGTCCTATCGCATCATTAATGCTGGCACAAACCCCATAAAACAAGACAGATTCACATACAAATACGGTAGAGATAGAGTAAAGCAACTCATGTTATTATTCAACTTACCACACCGCTAAAATGCTCTAAAACCTCCTTTTCTTCCTTATTTCTTGCAGCTGTTGGAACTTGTCTTTGCTGTTGCAACATTTGAGCAGTATTCTGAGAACCAGCATGTAAGTTAGAAGCATTGTTTTGCATACCCATCGAATTAATACTGGAAGTATATAAATCCAATGCTTTTAGAGCCCATTTTACAAGATTTATAAAGACTTCAGTTTCACTTGGGGTAAATTGGATACTGCTGTAGGCTGTCGAATTATCACTCGTTCCAAGCTAAAAGCAATAGATTATATACTCTTTTTAATTGAACACTTAATTTTAATTAGCATATCAATAACAAGATAATTAAAAAAAGGTGATAATAGATTTGTGTTATATCAATAAGAGAATTATGATTCAACATAAAAAAATCTATATTTGTTATTTAGTCAATGACCAACAATAAGGGGACCACACGTCCTGAATTGACCTGGATAATTCAAAGTAAATAGAATAATGGTAAAATAATTCTTTATTTTTCTTTAAATCAAATAAAATAAAAATCTTTATAAACAGCCATATAAAAATAAAATAAAATAATAAATAGAAGTAATAAAAAATGCAGACCTTTAGAGGAGCACATCCCCATGTAATAGTTTTAACACCAAACACTAAAGTTTTAACTAAACTTCTGAAATCTTGAGCACTCATGCTTTGGGCTTGTGATGGTGGAAATCCAAAACATGGCTTATCAGTAGAAGTCATGTTATTAGAACCATCAACAGGCAAATTTACTACGCCGCTCACGGACGATGTTTGGGAATCTGTTTGCGGTGAATTCGAACACTCAACACCGCCTGAAAAGAAATTTATTGATATACATCGAGTTCTAATAAAATATTATAAAAAGCAAAAGCAAAATAACTTGAATTATCGCTATCGGCCTAAAATACAATTTGACACCATCCTCGGATTGTTTTTTACTTATCTACTTTGAATAAATATATTATATAATTTTTCATAGCTCCATAATCATTAAAATATAAACTAAATAAATAAAATTGTCACTAAAAATAATGTTGCAAATTCAGCCAATGCAAATTAATGCTCTCACATGTAATAATACATATACATGTTATAATTACCTGAAGGCTCAACTTTAATTTTATCCTGTTGTGATAATCCTGATTGTGTAGGATTGTGAAGTTGCGGTAATGAAACAAAGCCTGGAACACTGGGTTGAAATTGACTACAATTGAAATTGTTTGGTAATTATAAAAAGAAATCATTATGTGAGACAGTAAGATGTAAACAATGGTTTACAAATGCTCTGTTTTAAATTCAATTTGAAGACACCTTCTACACAGGTGTTCAATTAAAAAATCCCATCTACCAAATACATATTTTACGGTCACATCAAGACCTTAAAAAGGATAGAAATTATATTTCTGCTTGAAGTATAAATATATAAAAAAAAAATATTTTGGATTTTAGGCAATCATAACTTTTTCTGTAGCAAAATTAAAAAGTAGACAAAGAAATATATCAGCCTAATTAAAATAGTAGAACTGAATATTATAGTAAAATCTTTTTGTATATAATATTAACATTTGCAAACTATGATCAAACTAAATCTCATAGTAAATCAATTAATAAAATAAAAATAAATGCAACAAACTTACTTTCTGTTCACAATAAAAGACAATTGCATTTTGGATATCATTTTGAATTTCAGCACAAAAACTTCTAAAATTTTCATAAGTAATTCACGAGATGCTTTTCCTTCTGCTTTAACCCGGATGCAATCGACCATGTTTAACAAAAGTTTACAGGACATAGTTTGAATCGTGACTGGTAGTGTGCAGTCATGAACATTTTTAGAAAATAGCCTAACTGCTCGTGCTAAATCTCTTGCTGATAAACTAGTTCTAATGTGATGAACTAAATCTGCTAAAGTTGAAAAGGCCAAGGGGCGTAGAGATTCATGTGTTGTATAACCACGACCCAACAATATGTCTTCATCAAACAACTGCTCCATGTATTGAACAAAATCTGTAAATATAATTAATTATAACAAATTACTTCTTTTAAACTAAATACTTTAGGCATTAATTCAAAATATATCTTTATATAACATTTTGCACTACTTACTACTTCTTAAATCAGTAGCTAAAATATGTCTTGCTGCAATTAGTAGTTCTCTTCTTAAATGTGCTACTTCATTAGGACATAAAGCAAGTAAACCTAACATTCCTTTCACCATTGACTGAGAATGAGTGGCAACTATGTCTTGGTATAATCGAATTATATAAGCCAAAAAAGATAATGCTTTAATTTGGGCTCCCATAAAATCCACAAATATTTCTCTGTTAAACTGTGGCGAACTTCTATATAATACAAAATTAGTTAAAATCAATTACTACATGAAATAATATTGAAACATCTATTAAGCGATTAAATATACCTATGTCTCGGTGAAGGCTGAAGAGTGATTGTAGACATTATTAATGGTATAAAGTCTGTTATATCAAGTTCACCATTTGGTTTGTTCAGTTGATACAAAAATACCATAACTATTGGAAGTTCTTGCAGAACTTTCAGGGATAATGTAGCTTTTGGTAAAATACTTATCTAGAAAAATAGTTGTGTAATCATTATACACACACCCATAAAAGTACATGTACATCTTGTCCTAACGGCACATGAAATCCATACTTCTCATTAAAAAAGAAGTAGAATAAAATGTTTCATATAATATCATGTTTTATATATTAGATAAAATACAAAAAAATAATAAAAACACTTGTTTTGGAACACAACGTTACATTAGAACACTGAGAAAAATTTGGATACATAATTTTTCATTCAAAATTTAATGTCATTTATTACTTACAGTTTGATAAAGATTTGTAGAATTTGCCGTGTGAGGTCGTTGCTCACAATGAACTAACGTGACAGTGTATGTAGAACTTAACACCTGCTCTAGATTGAGATCAGTTATATCTTTAACTCTAATTGGTGGTTTAGGTTCAAATATTTTATTTAAGTGGCTTGGTAATTCACTATACACTCCTTTCACAAACTGCATAAACCTTTGAATCTGAAATTATTTTCCTAATATTTATAATACTCGATTCATAATACTTTTAATATGTATATATTATTATTATTATTAATATTGTATATTATTATTTATATGGCAATGATAAGTCAATGAAAAAAAAAAATTACTTACATCAGCATTTAATGAGGTCCTATATTGTTTGTGTAATTCAATTATAATTCTTAAGCAAACTAAGACATTTTCTTCATTCTCAATTTCTAATAATTTCAGCGTAAGTGACAATATTAAAGGCACATAAGATCTTAATCGTTCATTAGTTGGAAGACGGTGAATCATTTCCAGAATGTGCTTTCTAACTTGTTGAATATTATGGTCTGATATAAATTGAGGCTCTGTTTTCTCCAATATTTTTAAAAATATAGGTATTGAGTGTTTTAAAAACTGAGGATATTCTGACGAGTTCATAATAATCTGCAGCATAGAAAAATTAAGTAAAAACATTTAGACACACACACATATATATGTATATATATATATATATATATATATATATATATATATATAAGAATTTAGATAATCTTTATAGTTCTATATATTCAATATATAAATATATCAGTAAAGTTAATAAATGCATATAAGAAATTACTTCAAAATTTTCAGTAAGCATTTGTGCAGCCTTAAGTTTATTTTCATCTTTTGCAGTTTCATTTTCAATCATATCAACAAAACTACAGAAGTAGTTCATTTGTGCTACTGGATCAGCCATGGGTGGAACTACCAGCTCCAGCTGAACTGGTGGAGCCATTATTGTTTTTTCAGAACTTTGCTGAAATACAAAAATTGTAAACAAACTTGTACAAGCCTATAATAAATGAATAAAAAAGCTAAATATAATAATTTTTGTAATAATAACAATCTTGCTGATGATTATTATTTACATTTATCTAATTTGTAATAGTCCTAGGTGATTATGGCAATATACAAAAATAAGGTCTTAGATACTATAGTAAATAGTATAGATCATAAATATGTCTATAAACTTATATTTTATAAACAATTTTGAATTTGTAAAAAATTTGGTTTATTAAGAAAGTTTAATAATGGGACATCACATCAATTAAAATAGGAACTTTAAAAAAAATATTTTAAATTCGCTCGTTTTGAATCTAGTTGAAACGTTCAGTGTAAAATATTTAAAGAAAATTTTAATATAATATAAATAAAACTGACACTGATAATCTACCGTATAGGAATACGGTTAAACACGATAGTATGGTATTGTAATATACATATTAGACATATTCACATAAATAAAAGATAAATAAATAAACAATTAATTATCATTAATAAAAAAAACGTGCGTAAATTACCAAAAACTTTTAAATGTAAAATATTCATTCTAACCAATAAACAAAATCTGTGACAGGCACATCGTCAAGCGTAAACAGATTAATTTCGCTACACTAGTAATAAGCGTTATATCAACGAACAGTTGTCTTTAACCGTTTCTTCCCCGTTAACGCCACAACCGTTTTGTAAAACGAAACAACTAGTAATTTGGTATCATACTCTTCTTTTATCTATGGTCGGGCGGCCATCTTGTTAACATCACTGTCAAGTGTACATCAGGGACTATGTAATGACTATATCCCTAATTATATTTAATTAATTTATGCTGCAGATCGTGTAATTAATTAATTAAAATAATTGGCATAAACAATGTATCGTGAAACATTCATAAAAAGCTAAAAAATGGGCATGTGTTGGTGTTTAAGTGTACATTCAATGATCATAATTATCTTTTAAAGGGCTTCTAATTGTTATCAATATTATAATCAAACATTTTGTTTACAGCTAATCCTTTATTTATATATTTTTAATTGTTAAATGTATATATATATATATAATATATATATATATATGTGTGTGTGTGTGTGTGTATGATTTGTAGTTTATGCCTAGAGCTTTTCAGCATACCCATTTAATATCTAATAGTAAGTTTATAAGAGTCTCTAACTTAAGTCATGTGCTGTGTGAAGACTTCTCGATGTGCGAAGGGCAGTTTCCCCTTCCTCCTTCCTCCTCCCTCCTTCCCTTACACTCTTCTTTTACCTATGCTTTCCAGTCTGGTCTACAAATTGGCCATGTCAATTCGAGCTGGATTCGATCTGTCTAACATCCGCTTCCATAGTCCATGTGACGTTCCAAAGTTGCCATACACTCTAATCACTCGGCTATTGGATTAATTGAAAAAACACGTTATTATCATATTCTTATATTGTTTGAATAGTGAATTTTAATAAATCATAAGTTCTCCATACATGTCTCTTATTCATCACCTATCTCTAACCTTTCCCTTTCTATCAATTGCAGTCGAGTGCGATCTTTTTATATTAGAAGTATTGTTCATGTTTTTTCCGAACTTCTAAGGTCCGAATTCTAAGGTCGAAATGCGCCACCTACAATTAATACCCTGAACTAATATTCTACGATTCCGAAAACCTAGGATTTGATTTAATCCGACGCTTTCGAGAATCGACCCAAGAAACTCCTAACCAAGACGGCTACGACTAAACGCTCTCGGCTATTCGATTCTTGACTACTACCATTACTACTGCTTTTTTCGGAAACGCTTTTGTCTACATCAGGGTTCCATTTGACTTCTTTTAGTTGAATTAGTATTCCATTTCGTATCTACCGCTGATGAAGTGAAAACCGCAATTTTGAAAAACCTGGCACCATGTTTTTTACAAATACTTATTTTTCGGTTCTGGAGTCAATCCGAGGAACCTCAGACCGCCGTGACGTCCACTTAGCGCTCTTGGCTACACAACTTTTTAAACGGGTATGTTTTTGATAGAAAAGTCTTTTGTCTAATTTGAGGGACCCAAGAATTTTTTTTAAATAAATATTTTACATTCTAACGAGACAGGATTATCTTGTTCAGAGATTCGAAGTACAGCACCATTGGAATACTGCTACTGCTGCTTAATGACCTCGGCCATGGAGTGTCACAAGAAGCTGTGTTTCTGCTCGTGTTCTTGTAAGTACTGCTATTTTGTGGTTGATTGTGTTTGAATGTGAATTTCGCCAAAACTTGCCGTAGGGCAGTTATATTGTATATTTACTTATTTATGTAGTTTTATATAAGTATGTAAAGTGAAATTCATGCTTTTTTTGTTCATATTATTTTATATTTTTAATAAAATTCTGCGCGTTAACTATCTCGTCCACGACAACCATTATTATGTACTATATAAATGTGGTGTGCTTCTGGTTACATTCAATTCAGGAGTTATAAATAAAATTTATAAGGTATTTACTATCGTTAGCTAGTTTTATAAATGTGTATATGGAGTGTATCAGATTGCATATACATTTGAGCGTTTAAAACCGATTTATAATAGTTCAACTTCTAATATGACCTTATGATTTACTCAAAAAATTATTAAAACCACTGAAAATTATGAACTAATTAGTATTAACTTTATGTATGACAAAATCGATTTTTTATATTTAACCAAAGTACATATTTACTCTTAGTTAATAAAAAAAAGTGCGCGTAAGGATCACACGCGATTGAAGTAAAACTTTTAATATTGTATGAGTAGGCAATTAAGATAAAAATAAAAAACATCATATTTGAATTTTAAAAATCATCTATTAATAATCACATAACATCAATAATAATAAGATCTCCTGAGAATCGGCACAGCTGTCCTACTGATATTAAGAGTTTGAATATGATGTGCAGCTTTTTTCCTAATTTTGTTACCTATCTTACCAGGAAATTCAAACCATAAACGTAGAAGTTCATCATTATCGCCACGTTCTATGTACACTAATTTTCCTACACAACCATTAGCTAAGCCATCACTTACATCAATATTAGTTGTTATTATGTAAAATTTATTCAGAACTAAAATTATTTCATACGGCAAACCCCCGGTATCAATAACCGATTTTTGTGAAACTGCTGACGAATGTATGATAGGTATGATTGTTGATCTGTTGCATGGCAACCTACATAAATATCCGTGACAGTAGATATTATTTTGTCTTCAACGAGATTCAGTATAAATTTATTATATTCCATGACACATTTATTCCCTAAGAAAAGTCTTATTCCATGAGGAAATAATACAGTAACCTCTTCTTTTGTAAAAAAACGTGATTCAATTAATGCAAGTTCATATAGGGTTTAGCGTTCGACTTACGCATGACATGACGAGAGTGGATCGCGACTCGCGACATCAGCGCCTACCTGCGTCGTAGTGTTCAACTTCACGTTGGCGTTTTCGTTGCATTTGTACGGATTTACACCCGTGTCGCGCCTAGAGAAATTTTTACACCCATATCGCGCCTAAAGAAGTTTTACTTCAAAAGACAATTGGACTGGCTAAAATTCTTTCAAAATTTTGAAATCGCGCTGTAAAGGTGGCTGCGCACTAATAAACGCAACCACTTACAGCTGCCAGACGGCCCATACCCTAACCGAGAGAGCGCCAAGAACCACATATCAAAAAACCAGCCTGCATAAAATTCTTTCTCGAAAACGTTGCTAGTTCCCGGACCATCAGGGCTACTATCCTGATTGAGGTTCAAGAGAAACCTGAATCAAGCAAAAAGTATTAATATGGAACCGCAATGTTTTAAGGTTTCTGTAATAAGCATATAAATTATTTTTTTTTACAAATGTACCATTAATATTATTGGTTACTTACTATTTAATCATTTATTTTGTAATATGATAATAAATTTATCTAGATTTACATTAGTAGTTGACACTTGAAGCGTAGAATATGTTTTTAGAAAGATGATGCGCTTTACTGTTAAAACAAATGACTGGATTTGTCTCTTATAAAATAAGAAATGCTACTTATATAATCTTACCTTAAATTACACCGTCAACTTGTTTCTTCTCACAATAATCGAGTAGTAAGATAATAGAAAATGTTTATCCCTTGAATTGAAAATTATAATCATATAAATAATTAATGAGCATGATGTCTAACTGACTTCAAAATCAATAAAGTATATTATTGCAAAAACTTAAATATTTTCTATCTTTCTATATTTATTTATTTAGAGTATAACTAAATTGACCCAAATTTAGTAATTGAATTTGACTCAATCATCGATATTTTTGTAATTTGTTTTGTAATTGAATTGGGTCATTACTCACCGATATGGTATCACAGTTATTAACTATTGAATATACGATTTATATTGTTATAGATTTCACTATCACATAATGCATATTTTCAATTAAATTTCAGAATCTCTCATGCACGCAAATTATATTGATAAATATCCGAGTAAAAAAAATACACAATGAGCAGCGGAAATTTCCAGTAAAGAAGTTTATAGATTATTAGTCAGCCGAGCATTAGGAATTTAAATATTGAAATATGCGTATGAATCTTTGTTTAATAATTTTCTGAGTAATTTTAATAATAAGATTGTGAAATTATTTGAATGTATACATTTTGAAAATTTGATCGAGTGTACAAATTTTAGTTGCAAACCAGAAACGAATATTTGCCAAATTTATTTTGTTTTATGATGGTAATTCAGGATATATCAGATACAAATTTACTTGATAAATTCTACAATTATAAATTTAAAATGAATTTAACAAAATGCTTAAAATAGCAAAAAGTGTGTAATAGTAACAATAAAATGCAGTAATATTGGTTCTTTTCCTTTCATTTCCAAAAGCAAACAATGATAAGGTAATTTCTTCTCCAAACCTGTAAAAATATGAATTATGTAATTAATATATAATAATATAATATATAAATTATGAATACTTATGATTTTATCAAATTCAACACATATCATTTATTGTTTGGTCAATTCAAAGAAATTTGAACTACAACATATGATTTTATTAACTATATATATGCACAGTGTCCCAGAACTTAATGTCAAGCCGAAATAGAGTATTAACTCTCCGAAACAATTACAGAAAAAAATATCTCACCTTGTTTGTAAATTGTGAGCTTTTTTAAGTGCAATCTAGAGCTTTGGTAAAATAATGATCTTTTTCAGTTATTGTGGTTAATATACAGTAATTAAACATTGGAACAGCAACCGTCAATAATATTTAAGGGAAGACCACAATAAAAAATAATAACACAATTACAACAATTTTACAAGTTTACAACAATTAAGATATTTTGTTGATCTATGAATTTAAAATTTTTAAACTTTGATAGGTCCGACCTTAAAAAAATGTACCAAAGTGTGTTGGCAAGTTTTATCAAAAGATGGTGCATTTAATCAGGATTACAAAAAGGTAAAATATTTAATAATTTTATTATAGAAAATTTTTGAGTAAAAAATAAAACAATGTGAAATCATTACCGCTTCACGTTAAATTCTGAGACACCCTGTTTATATATTGTGTCTAATAACTCATTTGAGTTAAATTTGAATTCACCAACCAGAAAATTTATATATATATATATATATACTAGCATACCCAGCCTCGCGTTGCGACGGCCCTTATTAAAATCCACCTGATTGAAATTCGAATCTGTTTGACAACCAACATTTCAAACTTTTGTAATAAAAAATCCATATCAATCCCAAAATAAATAAAATCTGGATTCAAATTTGAATTTGATGGATTAATACTATTGATAAAAGTGTTTTTTTTTAACTTAAATAATAAATAAAATGAAATAATTAAAGATTTGAATAAATGAGTACATTACAAAATTTATAATAAATAACTAAGTGACTTTTATAAATTTGTTATGTGTGTGTGTGTGTGTTTGCATGCTTTATTCTGTAAACAAGCATATAAACCCTTTAATACCACGTGACGCCTGCACATAAAATCACTTTTTAGCGCCTGCGCAATAGATTTGTTGCGCATCTCTTATAAAGCACTGACCTATTCTCACATGGACTTTTTTGTTATGTAAACAAAGTCAAGGCGAGGGTTCCCCACTGCTTCAAATATTAATTAAATTATAATCACAATTAAATAAAAATTAAAAGTTCTTAAAAATACACTCGATTACATACTATTTACATAAGCTCTTCTAAAATATTTCTGATACCAAAAATCGGAATCGGAACTTGATATATGTCTGTATTAGAGGAAACTTGTAATTGTTATATTGATCTTATTTAAAATTTCTGAGAGAGTCATATGAAGCTACTTCTAAAATTAACAGTTAACTATGCATTTTTCATTACAAAAATATATTATATTCAAATTGAATAAATATAATCAACTGCCAATTAAAATATAAATTTGATATGTTCTCAGTAAAATATGTATGTAATTCGTTAAAATGTTTTTCAGAGGTCACAAAGTTGAACGCACTTCTTTGAAAAATGTGTGGCAATGAACGTTTTTATGACGTAAAAATTTTATGAAGCATCTTCTCTAGAAATTTGAGATTGGTGTGCACTTTCTATTTTTGCTTGGTCTATTACACACGTTGTGTTTATGCTAAAATAGAAGTCACATGTCTATCTTTCTATATTTGTATTACAGTAGAACTCCAATTATCCGAATTAATGGGGACCGGGACCGATTCGGATAATCAAATATTCGGATAATCAAATATTCGACGTTTTTTTTAAAAAAATTGCCATTGGAGAGAAAAAAAGTTACGTTTTGATATTGCACTATTTTTTTATTGAATTGAATAAAAAAAACATGACATTTTCACATGTTTTAAATATAAATAAAATGTACTTATGTACAAGTTTAGAAATAAAAATCATTGTTTTGTAAACATCTCCTTCAAAACAAAACAAACAACGTGCCTACACTGGCTTTGGTGAAAGAATAATAGCGCACTTAGACTTTTTTTGGACAATTTTTTTTCTGAAAGTGATTCGGATAATCGGCGATTCGAATAATTGGAGTTCGGATAATTGGAGTTCGGATAATTGGAGTTCGGATGATTGGAGTTCGGATAATTGGAGTTCGGATAATTGGAGTTCTACTGTAGTTGATTTTTTACAGTTTGCACATCTTATTACAAAACTTGACGGTGTAAATAAGTTCATCACATAAAGCGTGTTTTCTTTTTAAGGGTAAGGTTATAAGGATAAGTTAGTAATCGCAAAAAATTGAGAATGAAATGAGGTTTCTGCAAAATTCAAAAAATTTCAAAATTTTACGGTACGAGAAGTTCCGGCAGTTTTCCTTAAAAGGCACGGAGCAATGCACCACTAGTTTTGAAATTTCAATTATAATGTAATATAGATGCATTATATGCACTTAACATAGGTATTTAAACATATGCCGAATGCGGCTTTGTTCGGGCAGTTGGCCCATGCGCGAATGCGCGAATAGGCATGTATGCGTCCCAGGTCTGTCGGTGTGTTCGTCGCGATGTGCCGCGCATCTAATACCGTGGTATAAACTCTGATGCGCTCTCGTTCCCCCTCGCAGTCTTGCTTCAGAGTTCAACAAGTACGGTTCGTACTTCATACGAACATTCTATCAAAGAACGGCCACGGACTCACACAATAAATATTCACATATACAACTGCGATACCGAATATCCACAAAGCCAAATCGACGAACAATTCCAGTCGAAGCTTCTGGATCGTTCCCCGTGCGCTGTATTCTAGTACCGATACCGACTGTTTACCGTACCGGCCAACGTTGAATGAGTGAAAACTTGCATCAAAACGTGTTTGGAACAATCAAAACAAACCCAAAAAGTTATCTTGCATTGGGGTCATTGACAAATTTCAGTATCACTTTTGTTATTATTATTAAATCAAAAGTGGGTGATTGCGCCGAAAGTGTATAACTAAAATTAACAGCACATGCATCGAATCTCTGAAGATACTAGTTTAAAAATTTTCCGTGTCGCGAGGTGTGAAATTGGCCATTGCGTCATAGCTCGGGATTTGTATGGTGATTTGGTGTTAAAAACTTGTAGCAGCAATTGATCGATCAAGATCATTCATAGCTTTTGTGCTCTGATGTAATAGTGATCAAAGTTAAGCAATCTATCAAGGAATTTTGAAACTTGACAAGATTGCCGTTGAAGAAATTTGAAAGGCTTCCAAATACAATAATCTGTTATATACACTTAAAAAAGTTAATAGTTAATAAATATCTCTAACACCAAAAGCAGTTGTTAGAATAGTTTTGGTTTATCATATCAAGAACACCAAAGCTTTAGTAGTCCATTTGTCACTTATAACCGTGACAATAGGTACCAGAACTTATCAATTCCGAAAAGATTTAGATAAATACCATAAATCAACAAGATGGCGTTCATGATGCCGGTAATGAAAAACGATTGGGATATCTACAAATCCAATAGGTCCCGCAAGACCTCCGAATGTTCCAACAGTAGTGGCTGTAGAAGTCGCAAAGTTTCGGAATGTCGCAGCGAATGTCAAAGTTCTTTGTCATCATCCCCAAGTGGCGCTGAATTCATCCCTTCGCCACACAGGAGTTACAGCTATTCGCATTCGTCAAGCTATCATCCTCCACAGACTGCCATGCAACAACGGCAGTTTTCAAGAAACTCGTCCAAATCATCTTTGGGACAATCGCCCGCTAAAAGCATTTCCAATAGTCCGCCAAAAAACGGAACGAGTACGAGTTCAGGAAGCTTAAACAAGTTTCATACCAGGCTGGTAGATAAGCTAAAGCGATCGTTGAAACGCGATGGTTCTGCTGGAACCGATGAAAGATCTTCATGATATGGTGACAAGGTAGAAGGGAACGAGGTAAAAGAAGCGTGGTGCAAGCCGAGGTCAAAGTCGCTGTCCGTTCCCAGAGAGGTGGTCGGGAGATTCGAGTTTGTTGGAGCTAAAGGTATAAAATAGAGTAACGATTGTTATTTAAACCATACGCAATATCGTTATGAAATAAATAATAACGATTGCAAGTCAACATTTCACAACTTTCCCGCCAATAATAACTACACAAGAAATACCATATCATATCTCTATTAAATCGTAATAATGTGAAAGTGAGGTTAATTGAAAAAAAAATGTAATATGATACATTTTCTGTTACATTTTTTATTTATATTACGATATTGCGTCTGGTTTAAAAAGAATGCAAGATTAGGTGAAGATCGAATATTGAAATATTTAATAGATACATAATGTAGGACAAGTCATATTTAGTTAAGGAAGTTTTGAGGAATGAAGATTTCTTTAAATAAGGTTTCTAAGTATATGTTAAATATTAAGTTCTGTAGGCGAATGAAATTAATAAGAATTCGTAGACCAAAAGTTTTAATTGGCTAAAATTGGCAATTTAAAAAGAAAATATAAAATTATACCGAAGATGGTTATATACAAAAATTTCGTACAAACAGGTAGATTCTTATTACTATTTCTATTTATTGATACTCAAATATTTATAAACTTTGGTTATCATTTTTTAAGAAAAAAGAGTTCATTTCACAGTCACAATCATAGACAATCCAATTGATAAATCCGATTTCTATTAAACATTTATTAATCTGTTAAAAATATCTTATGTTTAAATTTTGAGTATCAATACTAATAATATAAGAAATTAAATTAAAATGTAGTCAAATCATTATACAAAAATTAACTATAAACGCATATATAACCTGCTTAATGCTACTTCAAATATAGAATTCGCGTAAGAGCATTATATAGTAGTTCCATGCAAAAGTAGTCTATATTTTTTTAAAATATAAATATCAATAACTAAAATAAGCCTTTGAAATCTAAAAATATTATAACGCTTTATATTAGATGTATTAGGATGGTTCCAAAATGTTAAAACAAAAAATATTTTGCTCTCACCCCGTTAATTATTTTATTTTTATTATATCTGTTTTTTTGAATTTCTAAATTGTGCAATAATTCAATATTCATATAATATTATTTACCTTCAGTTTGAAAGAATATTAATCTTATTTGAAAAAATATTATGGGCTGAGAGAAAAAACTGAAGATATGACATTTTTGAATCATTTTAATAAAAGTGCATATGCATTCTAGTTATAAGAAAACAAGTGCTAATTTATATTTTTTCGTTGCACTGTAGCTTAGAAATGTTGAGTATTATTATTTATCGCTTTACTAATATATAACTGCTTATGAATGTGATAAAAATTGGATATTATTATTATTTTTTATTAATAATTATGAGAACTAAGATTAATTTTAATTTTTTATTCAGTGATAATAAAATTTTTGTCACTAATAAGTAAAACTTCTGAAACAATATAAACTTCTCGGTTATCTTTTAATTTCATATAAATTTTATATTATTTAATTAACATTCTTTTTATGAAATTTTGAACCTGTATTTGCTATGTCATTAATTAATTTTAGTTATATTCTAACCTAGATATATTTGGATTTGTTTTCTACAATATATTAAGAATATTAAATAGGTTATGCGTGCAAGGAGCAACAAAATACAAATAATACTGATTTTGTATTATTATTGAATACATATGAATTATATTATTGACAAATTGCAACATTGAAAAAGTAACATTAATTAATGTGCGCATACCTTATTTAAAGTTGAATTATATTAATATTAAGACTTATCACGCTTATTCAAAAATAGATATGTAATGACTTGATAATTTGGATGTGAAAATAGTATTAATCAAGCAACATAGTTGTCACATCTCACAAAAGATGAAAAATTTACGATATAAAATTTTTAGGCTAACTTTATAACTAGTATAATATGAAGTCAACACTAGCAGAATTACTTTAAACAAAATTTAAATAGAGGTTATTTTAAATTAATTTATTTGAAACTATTCCTTCAGTCACCAATTTATTAATATTTTTTCTCTAAATATTATAATTTAAATAATGAAAAGTACATTTTTCGAGCCTTTCACCAAAAGCCCTGAATTCAAAATGTTTTTCTTTATTTAATTGAGATCTGTGATAAAAATAAACTTATTGACTAAAAATATTAAAATCCAAAAATATACAAATAAATAAAAATTAGAATTTACAAAATTCATTAGAAGAAATTGTTTTTCGATATAGATGTGGGACCATAATTGTCGTTCCTTCTGTTAAGACAATAACGACTATATTTAAAATCCCTTCTGTAGAAATCTAAAATCAATTCTTCGATCAACTTTAAGACTGTGTTTAACCAATCCTTTTAGAAATTTACAAATGAAGCCAAAATTAAATTTTGAAGGAAGAACCTAAACAATATCTAGTTATTTAAAACTTATATTATGACTGCCAGAAAGCCTAAGTCGTAATAATAGTATCAATAAACTATTCGTAGGTAATTAGATACTATGAGCATTTCACTGAAAATATTTCGTTAATATGAATTAATTAATATCTGTACATATAACAGATTGCTAATTTTTATTTTTTCAATTGTTTATGAATGCTATTACGTTGAAAAAATTACACATATCTATCAATATTAAATAATTACAATTTCGGAACAGATCTCAAACACTTTCAAGTTCGTTACATGAAAATTGATAATTAATATTCAGTAAAAGTTTGTAGGTAAATGTAATTTTAGAATTTTAAAATCGTATACATGTAAGAAATAAGGTTTTTGCTAACATGAAAGTCATTTTATCAGACGTCTTATGTTTAATTATTAACATAAGCTAAAACTAAAAAAATGCATTTTTGCTATTTTTTCTTAATTTATTTAATGACATTGCTTCATCAAAATTTTATTTTATGAAAGTTGTAAATGAATGCTTTATTATAATTAGTTGAAAATCAGGTATATTTGATAATATATGTTTTTTTAAAATGATGTCATCAAATATTTTAAAATATCAACACATTCAAAAATCTCTTTAGTTAAGTCATTTTAATACATTGATGTTTTCGTATCATTTTAAATGCATTACTGAACTTGTGTATGAATGTCTTGTATGTATATATATATATATATATATATATATATATATAATTTGCGTTCATACACCATATGAAATTTTGTGTTTGTATATTACAAAAATGGATAAAAATATTATTTTTGTATTTGATATATTTGCATGAGTATTCATACAGATATGATGTGTATGCATGCATATATATTTCTTACGAAAAGATTTATTAATCTGAACATCTTCAAAAGTTCTTCTTATAGAAGAGCAAATATAAATATTAAAGCTTAAATTCTAAACAGTATTTCATAATAGTTATGAAATACTGAATGACTCACATATGTAATTTATTTATTTATATATTATATATAATTGTTATATGCACCGTATGTGAATATAATCGTAATAGATAACGAACTGAGTCATTTATTAAAAATGCCATAATAGCAGGATTAAATATAAATCGTTATAGATTATATCGATAAAAAAAACATTGACGAATAATAATTTTTTAGTACGTAATCTACTATTGATAAATTCATATACGGTGCAATGTGAGACTCAGGCAAAAAAAAAATATACAGCACACTTCAAATTTAATAGAAATATTGAATTTATTTTTATAAAAAAACTAATGCATGGCACATTCTGTTTTATTTAGAAAATCTGTTAATAAATCAAATCAATAATTTCTTCATCAGCTACGGTTTACTAATTTATATGATGTTGCTCAAAATTTGTTTGATTATATGTTATGTATGCACTTGTTTTTGCATGAAAGGTATTTATAAAAAGGATACTGCTGAGATTGACTGCCTAAATTTATGAACATTATAGAGACAAGATTATATACTTATAAGTTTTAATTAGTGTTAAATATATGTATATCTTTATTATGTATAATGTTTTGTAATGATAATAAACTATATCTATATACAAAATTAGTAATTTCAATTGATTACATTGTTCAGGCATTTTAATTGTAGAGTTGTTAACTGACGATTTCAAGATTTTTGGCTAAAAGGCCAACAAAAGATTCAAATTTCGGATGACATACACATAC